CCTCGTTGCTCTTCTCTGGACCTGCTCCAGCACCTCAATATCCTTCCTGAACTGAGGGGCCCAGAACTGAGCACAGTACTCAAGGTGTGGCCTCACCAGTGCAGAATATAGGGGCAGAATCACCTCCCTGGTCCTGCTGACCACACTGTTCCTGATCCAGGCCAGGATGCCATTGGCCTTCTTGGCCACCTGAGCACACTGCTGGCTCATCTTCAGCTTTCTGTGTCTCCAAACTCCCAGGTCCCTTTCTGCCTGGTGCTCTCCAGCCACTCTGTCCCCAGCCTGTAGCTCTGCATGGGATTGTTATGGCCAAAGTGCAGGACCCGCACTTGGCCTTGTTAAACCTCATCCCATTGGAATCAGCCCGTCTCTCCAGCCTATCCAGGTCCCTCTGCAGAGCCCTCCTGCCTTCCAGCAGTAAAATACTATAACTTTGCAACAATGGAGAAGAGTGCTAATTCTGAGACTTGCATAGGGGCAGACTTAGAGACCTCTTCAGTTCTTCTGGAAATCTCCTGTATGCGAAGAAAGAAATTCTCTATTTTGTTTTTCTTTGTCGATAAAGAGTTTAAGAAACGAAATTATCCACAGTATTGTTGAAAAAAAGCAACATATTAAAGCCAGTGTAATGAAGTTTAACATCATTAGTATTTAGGAATTGTATACTTATAAAACAAATAGGTATAAGTCATGTATCTTTCAATACTGATTAAAAGTATCTAATCTTGAAGGCATTCTACACTATTTTCTTTGCCTGATGGTGTATCTTGAAAGATTAAAAATCTTGCATTGCATGAAAATAAAATATAAAGCTAAAGAAGGTTCTTAGAAAAGGAACTGCAGTTTCTATACAAGTCCTTATTTTACTCTATTAAATACTTAATGATGTACAATGATGTGGAGTTTAGCTATTAACCGATCGTGACTGGTATAAGTTTTAAAATCACTGTAGGTGAGTACTTGTTGAAAGCATACTGAAGGGATGAACTGCACTAATCACTTCATTCTGAAATAAAATGTTTTATGCAGACATTTCTTTGTGTCAAATTTCTCCATATCTTGAAAGGGAAAAAGCTGGTAGAAAAAGCCTGGGGAATGCTGTTAGTGTTTTTGCCTCTGAGGTACAGGGACCTTTGCGTATCTTTCCAGGACCTGCTAAGTTAAAAAGCAAATTAAAATACTCTGTCTCTATATAGTAGCATAATATCTGACAGTGTGTTTTCTGTGTACTACCTCACTGTTTGAGCCTTCTATTCTTCTTTGGCAGTAGTAGAATCAGAGTGTGGGATGTAGGGTTAGATTCCCCACACTGGGTCCCCTTTCAATATACTGAATGTTCCCTATCAGAGAGCTACCTATTGGTTCTTGTTTTTTAACAGAGAAAACACTGAATCTGCAGACAGTATGTGGAAAATCTCATACGCATAGAGCAGTTGTCAGTGAATGGAGACAATGTGGTGTGTCTTGACTGCTTTGCAAAGCTAACCAGTGAACTTCCAGTGCTGGTTTTTGTCATCAGTAATCCAAGTCAGCTTTTTTTGTTGAAGTTACTGAAACACATAACATTTCAAATTGACATCTAGATGGTAATAATTTTCTCAGTATCTTAATCTTTCATTTTTATCCTGTATATATCATTGCACTCATGTGAATAAGTGCAGTTCTTTCAAAACAATAAGATGAGCAGCAATTAAAAATGTATATAGAAATATGTAACTCTCTTTTTTCTTTTTTTTTTTTTTTTTTTTTTTTCCCGGGGGGATTTTAAAAAAAAGGCAGATTATACAAGAAAGAAGATTTGTAGAAGCAGTAAATCGTGAAGCTTATCAGTATCAAATGGGTGACTTTCCAACGGAATGGGAAGGTAAATCTAGAATATTTTGGTTTTCTTTCAAGATAATTTTGCCATTGAATGTAGATCCTATATTTTTCATGGAAAACCTGATTATGTAAATAGGTTGTTTGTTATCTTTCATTTTAAGTAATGCAGGCTTTTTCTTTTTTTAACTGCATAGTAATTATGGATTCTTGAAGTAACCTCTTGACAAACAGGATAAATTTTGTTTAGGAAGTCAGTACTTAATAAAAGTAAAGCCTATATGGTCATAACTTACTCCTATTAAATGTGAAAATATTTGTGCCTGAGGGGGATCTGATTGAATAACCAACATGAAATGTGTTAATCTTCCTTATTATGCCATCACTGCAGTGTTAATTTGTAGGTCATTTAGATTATGGGTGGCACAGTGATGGGGCTTGCTCTTTTTATGGTATGATTGGGTTTCCTATACTCTTCCTTGCACAATCTAGTAGGGAGTTGGAGAACCTGTTAATAATTAACCATTTAATCCCACTGCTACTGATTAAAATCCTGTTTGAAAATTTGGACATTGAAAAAAATCAGGGAAGTTAAAGCATTTCCTTAGGATTAGCTGATCAGTCCTTGGAGAAAGAGAGAAAGGAAAGAGAGTGTATGTTGGTCTTTGAGGTTGGTAGTAATTTAAGCCAAGTGTGGGGTTAAATGTGTCTTAAAATCCAGGACTCTACAGCATAATCAAGGAGCCCCTGAAATAGTACATTGAGGCTACCCATCACTCCGTGTGCTTTTTTTGAGAGAAAAATATGTAGGCAGAAGTTGTTAGGTTTAAAGCAAACAAATTTTAGGCAGTATGTATTTGAACTGTGGAATTCTGATACAAAGAAAGTATATTGAATATTCTGCTCGCTGGAAGTTTGTATGAGTTCAAAGAGTGATTAAGAGTATTTGTGAAAGAAAACTTCTTCTCATAAACAGACATTACAGTGGTTTAATGTGTAAGTGAGCTGCAAATGAGTGGAGATTACAATGTGTTTTGAGGGAATAACTCAATATATTGCTTTACCTAGTTCTCTTTCCTTTATGCTTGCTGTTCCCCTCTGAGGGAGATGATAGTGAGCTAAGAGAAAACTTCATCCCATTATATCCCCTCATGGAGTCAGTAGAGAAATACAAAATGTTCTCATTTTGCATTTTATCATTGTCATTACACTTAATTCCTAGGATTTTTGTTGTCATCAACTAAGGCTAATATTAACAGTTGAGAGCTTCTCTAAGGTGTTTCAACCCTATTAGCAGCATTTGCCAGCTATGGTGAAACCACAGTGTCTTCTACTGCTGCAGTACCTACAGCTGGTTGGCAAGTCTTAAATCTAGTTGCTCCTGGTTCTTTAACAGTCCAAGACAGCCACCTTCTGAAGGGGAGCTGCAACCTGGTAGGCTTGTCCTTACTAAATCATCTGTTGCTTGAATAGGTGTCTACCTAATCCCACTTGCTGAAAGTCTTCCTCATCCACAAATTCTCCAGCTGCCACTGCTCATCTTAGTTCTGTGTGACTGTCGTGCAAACCCTGCACCACAGACACCAAGAAGCTTATGCAAAGCCTTAGGTAACTCTGCTCTGCTGTGATTCAGTGCTCATCCAAGATCTGCTGCCTTTTAACAGTCAGAAAAATGTCATTCAGTAGTGTCTGTCTGCACTTGGCTGGAATTAGCAGGAAACAACATGGACAGTCAGTCTGTCTCAGATGAGTGTGGGCGAATCATCCTTTCACTGGTTCAACCAACTTGCTGTACAAACCTGTTGCTTTGGACTGCTGAGATCTGTGTAGCATTAATAAGCCTGTGCTATATCTCTTTTCAGAAAGCTTAGTACAAATCCATGCAATTTGACAGTGTAGTGCCTGGGAAGGTGCAGCTTTTTTGAATGTTGCTTGTACAAGACAAGGAGCTTGGAGTCAAGTGTCAAATGACCTGTATATGGACTTGCCTAAAAAGCTGCAGCTGCCAGAACTGAAATGCACTTTTCAAACCAAGGCATCCTGTTCAGGTTTGTTTTAGAGAATAAAAGATGAACTGGCCAGTCCAGTTTTTATGAGCTCCATCTACAGTTTTAATGTTTAACTTCCTCATCTTTGTATCTGTGGGTTTTTTTCCTTTGTGATTTTGTCAGCACCAAATAGATAGACTTCACAGAGAAAAGGAAAATTTGCAGCTGTGTGGATTAGGTAACAGTCTTTTCCTCTTAAAGACTGAATTTCTGTAGATAGAAAAGATAAAGTCATGTTTTTTTCCCTGTGCATTTACTAAGCAAAATGTGTGTATAGTGCATGCATGTACAGATACATGCATGTACAGATACAGCATGAGAATTCCAGAAAAAAGGCTAACCTGTACTGTTTTGTCCAATGCCAATTTAAATGTTACAAACAGTTTTGTGGAAATGTAATTTTAAAAAGCCAAAATAGTAATTCTGCTGTGAGTATAGAGGGTGTTCAAAGAACTGTTATGTCTTTGCTGTGTATTGGGGTGTGAGTTAGGGATGCAGGAGGCTCTGCAGTTCAGTTCATCACTACTTCTTTTCTGCCTCCTGTAAAAAGAAAAGGTCTCAGTGAGTAAAAGATGAGAAAGAATGGAAAGTGTAGGGAGTTCAAATAATACTATTGAAGCCAGTTATCTGAGTGGGAACAATTTAATTCAAGGTTTTTAGACATGCTTTGCTGAAAGGCTCATTACATTTCTGTTCCTATTGTGTCCTGTTTAAGGTTGACTTAGAAGTTTCCCAGGCCTACAGGACCTGTACTGAACTTTCACTCTGTATCTTCTGTCCAGACTCGTGAGAATTTCCCAGTACATTCTTCCTGTGGGTGTTCAGTTTATAATTTGTGCTATCATGGATGCTGATCATTCCAGCAAACAGCCTGAGACTTTGCAGAAAGGAGTTCTAAAATGCTTGCTCTTTTCTCTGAACAGTAAAGGATTAATAAAAGGTTAGAAGGGTATATAATATTTCTTACTTCTGTTTTCTCTTTACTCTTGGACTCTCTGCTGGGCACATGTTTACATCCCCAGGGGCCTCCTCTCTAGGTCCTGTGTATGTACTTTGACATCCATGGCCTCAGCTTCAGTTTTGGCTGGCTCAGCAATAGCAGTCTCCTTGCCTATCCTTCTCAGGCTTTTCACTTCAAGGACTATGCAGAATTTCTGCTGCCTTATCTCCTCTCCTTTTTCTTGGGATCTGTAGAGAGCTGCTTTTACTTGTGTTGTCTTTCTTCTGCCAGGATTGTTTTTTTACATGTATGGATAATTCTTAAATGCCACCTGATTTAAAAGCAGTCATCCCACCATCCTTTCCTTCTCCTTGTTACCCTATATCACACCATATGACTAGAAAAATAAAACTCTTGTGACCCAAATTAATAAAAATACTGTCCCTGGGAATACTTACAGGCATGGGTTGTCTCAGGAGAACTTGCACAAAATAAGGGATAAGGGGTAGTTTAAGGAGTGGGAACAGATTGTAGTGAAATTTGAAGAGGGTCTGAGTTAACTCTCATTGTATACCTAAGATGTTCAACTTGGACAGCTGATAAGCTAAGGGTCTGGTTTTGGTGCTGTGTTTATCGAGTTATAAACATGTAATAAAGTAGCAGAGACCAGGTAGAAAGCCACAAAGCAAGTGGATAAACCAATCAGCCAGATTACAGACTAGGTCTGTGCTAGCTCTTTTTCAGACTCTGGAGAGGGTGTTTGTGTATTAGTCCTCGGAGTGTACTGAATGATGAGGGTTTACTCCTGCAGGACTTGTCTGGAATTTTTCTCCTGAAGATGTTAGTTTTAAAGGACTCTGCAGGATTAAATTTCCTAAGTTCTCAGACTGTGAATTTTGCAAAAGTTTTGAAATGTCCATTAATGCTTTTGTAAAACTGACACTTAATCCTTTGTGTTACCCTTAGTGTTAGTGCCTTATACACAGGAAATTTGGTTGATTTTGATTTTAAAAATCCCAAAGTGTATTTCCCTTCATACTATACTTTTGAATTTAGAATGCAATCCATATGCATAATACAAATAGTGCCTGTTTTTGTTAAGTGAAGCCTCTTACATTTGACTACAAAGTGGGAATGCCTACTTTTCCCTAGGCGGTATGGATGCACACAACAGAGAACCTTTCTGTTGTGTTAGTTCTGAATGTTCACCTACTGTAGATTGTGCAATTTACCTCCTCAGGACAAGTCAGTAGTGCTCCTGAGAGGACATCAGTAATTTTACATACCACAGAGATTCATGAGATTGCATGCTTCATACAGCATTTTATTGCCCATCCACTCTTAGTCTTTTTTTTCTTTTCTGGTAACATTTAGTGATTAATGGGAGTCTTAATTTGCATACTCACTTTTATGGTCATTGCAGTGTGTTATGTGCCAGTAGGAGCCTTAAAGTTCATTGAAAATCTAATGCATACTAATAAGAATGCAAATGAGCACTGATGAAAGAATGGGAAGGTCTCAAGGTAGGGAATGTCCAGACATCTTGTAAAACTCCTTTTAGACAAAGGTGGTGTGAAAATGAGTACAGAATGCAGGAAGTGCCATCCAGATAAAATTAGAAGCAGCAGCATAATTAGTTTTAAATGGAGGCAATGATTCATTTTGCCAAAGCTTTGTGGGGCAGGGAAGCATGTTTTGGTTGCACTTGGTACATACGTGTTACCTTTTCTACCTTCCCAGGTTTAAAACATTTTGACTGGCAGTGGTGAAGGGATTTGATTTTGTTAGCCTGGAGAAGAGGAATGTTCACGTGGAAATTTTTTCAAACTATAACTGTCACTAGACACTTTTTAATTAAGTATATGCATGTGTGCTTAATGTTGTTCAAATAATAGGTAATAAAGTACCTTCCCACCTTGTTTCCATCTGCAAATATTTGACTGTGGTATAATCTGTTCCATAATTTAAACTTGCATTGACCAAAAGTGTAATGGAGAGTGTAAAAAAGGTGTGAGAGCTTTTTCTTTACTCAGTTGTATACGCTGACTGTGTTTTCCAAAGACAGTGCAAAATGTCTTAATTTGAATATATCATTTATTTAGATTTTGATAAAGCCAGTACTAACTGAGTAGCAAATTAGTGGTTATATTCTTGTACGCATTTGTTCTTCCTTTGTTACTGTGAATATCTCTCACGCCTGAGTTGTTGGGGCTTTTTTGAACCATGTGTTGGATGCTCAAAATTTTACTGATAATTTAAAAAAAAACTGTGAAAGGCTTTTAAACATTCTTCTGCCTGAAAGAGAACCACCTGAAAACTGTCTTTTGAAAAACTTATAAAAGTATTAGATGCTGAAGTGCAGTGTACTAAAATACACCGGATTCAGATGATGTTTTCTTTGCTTTTAATCTTGTGATATGTCTTAAGCTGTGCTCTACATAGAAGTTTTCTCACTGTATTTCTCAGCTACATGGCAGTGAAGAGATCTTTTATTAAATAATGATTTTCTTATGCAGTTAATTAGAGATGTTAAAATTAATTTGCCTGCAGTAATTTGGAAAATGGTTTCAATATTTGTGTCAGCAATTTTATTTGCAGTTAAAGTGAAAAAGGTTTGTACTCCTGAGATTCATTAGAAAAAAAAAAGTAAGTTGGGCAGCTCCTATAAAGCCATGTACTCAATTATTTTCCATAACTGAAAGGAAAAACAGCACAATGTTATAACCGTGTGCACTATTTAAATAGATATAGTCTGGTGATGGAATGTTTGATATGAGAAATCTTCCTGAATTGAGGATTGTTTTGTTGCTTTTGACTGTTGGTACTAATTGAGATCTGTTAATGAATGAAAATGTGTTGTGTAATGCTCCTTGCTTCACAGCTTGTGTTCACAGGACATGTGTCATTGTGAACACCGTTCTGTGGTGGCTTGTTAAACTGAGGTAGATAATTAGATGATAAAATCTTCTACTAGAACTATTCCATTCATCTGAAAATCATTAATCAAGTGGCTGCTAAAAGCCATAGATATTGCTGAAAGAAAATTTATTGTAATGTTTATATTTCACCACTAGTAGCTGAATTTTTGTAGGATTTCAAATGTTAAGATTTTTCCTTTAGGGATCACTAATTTTAATCAGTTTCAGTTAAAATGCAGCTGGTGTTTTAAGAAAATACTGGCAATTTAAAAAAAATAATTCCACTTTTATGTGTTGAGACCTGTGGAATTGTACTTCCATGGGTCAGAAGTCAGGCATGGCAAGGTAGAAGATGATACTTTGTTGAAAGTAATCTGTTATATTTTGATGGTTTTAAACTTTTTATGAGATATTTTAAACTACCATTTTTCCTTTTTTTTTTTCTCCAGCTGTATCTTTTATTGATTAGTGTCTAGTATACATGACTATACATGAAATCTCTACTGCTTTCTTGCTTTTCTGGATGGTGTTGCATCCGTTGCTACGTACGGACAAAGCTAACTTCTTTCAGGAGAAAAGGCTTATGTGAGAAGATTTTCTCCAATAGCTTTGTTGGTTCTTTTAGAATGAGTGTCTGCAAAGCTGCCAGCTAAAAAGTGGCAGTGTCAGTTTAGGCTCTGATCTTGCCAGATTTGGCATTTTGAAATCCTTATGAAATTTAAATGTTTGAAAGTGCTACAGGAACATGCAAAATGTCCTCTGCTTCTACTGATTTAATAGAAAGTCACTTAGTTGCATTTTGGATTACCTTAATGGGCTGTTTTTCTTTCCACTAACATAAAACTTCTGCAGAAAGGGTGGTGTTGGCTGTTCAGAGCCTCTCTGAGGCAGATTTGAGTCTCATCTTTGTTAAGGAGCTCTGAGAAGAGCTAGCAGGGACTGCTTTTAAGGGAAGTACTTTGAGAATCTTAGATAAAAGTACACATCTTCAGACAGTGTCATCTGATAGACAAGAACCTAAAGTAATACCTTGCTTCATATCATTACAGGTATTGTCATATTAACCTTTACTGTTAACCAAAACTGTTGGCCTTGCCATTGTGGCTAAATTCCAAGCTGTGTTATGCCATTTTGTCTCCCCTAGTTTGTTCTTATGTTAATTGGAAGTTATTCCTCCTAAAACCAGTTTCATACTGCTGGTGAAGCAGGGTGGTGTTAGCGTTTCACTTTATATATGATTGCACCTTCAGTAGTGAGGTGACGTTGTGTATCGCTGCGGTTTTAGTGTTCTGGACTTGCTGTCTGACTCATTCCTTGATTCCCCTCAAAATACACTGCAGATGGTATTAGAAAATTAAAATTTAGAAGAGTACCTTCTTAAAGCATTTCTGAAACTATAGATAGCTGCAGGTCAGGCCAGAAATTTGACCAGGTGATAGTGAAATGTCAGTTTTGCTCTAATTTTCAAGCAAAGTAACAAAAGTCTTAATTATCCAAACAAACATACATGTCTCAGCATTTGGAATAGGCTTTCCTTATGTATGTCGTTCTGTCCTTTATTTGCCCCTTGCATCTTCTACTAATTCATTCGAAAAAGAAGAGCAGAAAAGAAAAATGTCTGTGAAATACCCTACTTACTGAGTAAGTAAGTAGGGTATTTCCAATTGTGTGGACTGAAAAGGTGTGAAAAAATGCTGTGGTAATGATACTTCTAAAAGTGATGGATATTACCCTGTTCAATTCAGGTAATTTGTTTAAATAATGCCGGTAACAGTGGCAGCTGTCTTATAATTCATCAGCTGAGTGAAGCAAGACCTGATGGAGTCTGCAATGGGCTCTCCTTGGATTGCTGCCTCCAGTCAGTCCCAGGCTAACCATTGATGTTAGCAACAGGAGTGTGATGCTGAGAAATCCTGGAAAAGAACAACTCACAGATGTGTGTCTCTGAGTAGTAGGTATTTGTTTATTCAGCACTGGGCACAAGGGGGATTGCTCCACCAAACTTGTGCAACCAGGAGTAAAAACTTCATGGTTTCTATATACTAGATGCTTATACATATTCATTATTTCTAGGAATGGGTGTATATAATTATAATTAGCTCTCAGAAATCATTATCATATTGTCCTCCTTTGTCTCCTCCCACTTGATGCTGGTCCAACAGCTTCTGGTGGTCACTCAGGGGTCTTCAGGAGGAAGGCTGGTAGTCTTCATTGGGTTGAACGTTTTGCCTTTGGGTTTAATACATGCTCTGTAGTCCTGGTTTCCTGTTTCTAGCCCTCAGAACTGGTAGTATTCAGTTTATCTTCCTCTTATGTTCTTGTCCACCCAGTTTGTCATCCTTTTATCTTCTGGTTCTCCTTGAATTTTATCATTTACATCCATTCACAGTTTAAGCAATCCTACAAGTAGGCTGACTTAGGTTTGTGAACATAAGCTCTTCTGAAGAACATCGTGATAAAATGCTTGGCTGTTTTACTTTCTTTGTATCAAATGGGCATAAGTCCTGATTTTGCTTTGGAAAACCTGAGCCACAAGGCAATAGTCATTGCCACTGCTTTCATTGTTCTGCTGTCTTTTCCAGCATGAATTGACTGAGATGGAAAGCTCCTTCAGCCAGTCACAGTACCTGCCCCTCCATGCTTTGGGTAATCCCACAGAGCCACAGGATGTGCTCCAGCCCAGTCTCTGCAGCTCCTCAGTCATGTTTGGGGCTGCACCTTTCATGCCTGTGAAGGAATTCTGGTTGGCACTAACAAAATGGGTTTTGGCTTTAAGAATGCCTGAATCATACACAAGGATCTGTTTTCTTTGAAGTGGTCTAAGGCTGTTCATAGTTTTCAGCAGTCAACTTGTCATTTTCTCAGGGTGAAGGTCAGCTCTGTATAGCAAACTCAGCAATAGGTGTGGGCCATGAGCCCTGATTTTTTAAGCCCTGTTTTGGCAGCCAAGGTGGTAGATAAACTGTGCCCAAGCTCTGCACACAGAGGTGACATCATTCCCTCCCTACGCATTCCTTCTCTGAAGACTGAGAGTATTGACACAGGAAATAACATCTTGTCTCTGTGTTTTGGGAAATGATATGGTTTGCCAGGTTGTGCAAATTCTATTGTAATTTCTTCATAAACATTTTCTTTCTGTTACAAATTCATCATAGTTTTGAGTTTTGATACCTTCTGTGCTGTTTGAAATAATCCATTTGATTTTCTTTTTTTTTTGCACAGCATGGATAAGGAAAAAAAGAAAGGATCCACCCACTATTGAGGTGAGATGAAATGTCTTTATATTTTCAATTGTTATAATAAAACTATAATAATTAGTTTCTAGTATTCTCATCTGTGCAGTAATTTGTCACTTTTGGGGGGAATTTCGTGTGTTCCTTGCCTAGCTGATGAAATTATACACAGACTGGATATCCAATACTTAGGAAAAAGTGAAACAAATGGAAATATAAACTCCAGTGTTCTTTGGTCATTACCTGTGTGAAAGCTTTTGAGATGGTCTACTATGTTCTTTAAGATGATAATGGCCATTCAGGAGTCTCTTCAATTCTGAAATTACTGCTATGAATTTTTAAATTCCTCTTTTTCTCCATGGTAGTTGACATTAAAATGTAGCTTTCAAATCCAGCTGCCAGTAGATTCATCTAAACAGGAAAACTAATTGCACTAACATTTTACAATGCTAATAAGGTGGGGGAGTTGCAGCTATGTCTTTTTCCGTAACTGGATGCAGGGAAATGTCCCGGTCTTTCATACTGATGAGTCTGTAAAGAGTGGAACAAGTTTGACTACTGATCTGAGTATACAGATGCACACGCACACACAGACACTGCTTGACCTGGATTCGTATTACAAGTTGCTAAGCACCAGCTAGGAACGAGAGAGTAGAGGAAGCATGGTTTGCTGCAGAAGATTCAAACTGACACCCACGGAGGCAGGTACTTGACTTGCATCAGGAATAACTATGTCAAGTTCAGTGACACTGTGTTGGCATCTCTAGCCTAAGATTTGGTCACTGAGATCTGGAACATACTGGTTTGCAAAAAGTTGTCCTGACTGCCTGGGTGTTGAGGTGACCTGGGGAAGCTTCTCAGCTGATGTTTACAAGCTGTAACTCGTTGATACAAACTCCCACACAACATACAGTTACTTCTCTCTGCCTCTGTGTAACACTTGCCACAGGCTGTAGAGACAGTAAGGGGTATAATACACCCATGATTGAAAGTTTAAGTTAAATTTATCCTTAAAGCTTTATAACATTTAAATTAATGCACTTTGCATTAACATTCAGGGAAGTACTAAGTGTGTTGTTTGGTTTTTTAATTGTTCCCTTCCCTCCTCATCCTAGTTACATCACAGAAGTGATACTACAGCACTTGTTCCATCTAAACTTGGACTGATCTCCTTTTAAGTAGCTCTGGCTCATAGTAGCTTCATCCATACAACTTTTGTTGTTGAAATTACCACTCAATGTGATATTTGAAGATGGAAGGTGTTGTATTTCTTCTATACTGTCATTTCTGTGAGCCAGATTGCCATGATATTGTGCTGAGATAAACTTCCTCCAAGGCAGGAAGCCTTGGGTCTGGAATTGGTGCAGTAAAGCTCCTCATGGCACACTAGAGATGTTGCTTCTGTTTTTAATCAGGGAGCAAAGAGTCTCCACAGGTGAGAGAACTGTGGCACAATAGTGTTCTAAATATTTTACCTTCCAGAAAAAGCAGTTTATGGAGAATGAAAGATTATTGGGACTAATGGTGCATTCACAGTTACAGGACTGCTTATACCTTTGGTTTCATGAGGTAATAGGTCTGAAAAACAATTTAGCAGCTAGGTGCTTTACCTGTAGGGCTGTGCACTGACCTTTTCAGACCAGAAGTGATACACCAGGAATTTGAAAATAGTTATCTTTCCAAGTAATCTCTAAATAATTTTTTCCTGTATAAGAAAAAAATAGTTTAATTATATCTGTGTTAAAAATTTCTTGCTGATATTTTTGAAAATAATGCTGCAGTCATATTTGAAACATGTGATGGCGCAGCCTAATTTTTTTCTCTGTATTAATGTAGGGCAATATGTATGATCTACTTTTTTCCTGATTCAAAACTTCTATGCCACAAACCCTTACACCACAATATCATTATAATTATAGTAGTGAAGTGCATATAGAATATGGCTTGGTCCTTATTTGTAGGATTGATTTGCTTTAGTGTTTTAACTACCTAAACTTTACTGGCTGCTATTCTGTATTATTTTCTCTTTTTGACCATAATGATAGTATGGTAAACTGCTGTTTGACAGCTATAGAGCAAAGGAATATTTGTGACCCTATTTCATGTTTGAAACTCCATATAACAAATCTCCTTGTTCTTTCAGATATTTCTCATGAGACTAGACTATTTCTGAAAAAGGATGTAAACCCCACAAATTTTGCATTTTTCCTTTAATGACATTTTCTGTCAACGTCACATTGTAACACCACAAAACACCATTGCAATTCCTAAAGCATAGGTTTCTGGAGCTGTGCTTTATGTTCCTACCTATGCAGTCTGTGATACCACATTTTTTATGGTTTTCCTTTTTTCCCTTATCCTTTTCCCCTTCTTTTTTTCTTTCTAATGTCCAATGACATGTTAAACATTATCAGAAATTTCTGATCCCCTTCTGTTAGCCCATTTGTATCTTACGTTTGGGTTGTTTATATTTGTCAGACTTGTCTTTTATTTGGCTCTCAGCTATCTATGATAGAGGTTGTCAAACTGCTCAGGCTATCAGGTCTCAAGATGAGCTCTATGATCAAAAGATGTAATTGAAAATGTTGCAGAGATGTGGCTTCACAAATCAGCTGGATCTTACTAATCAACTGATGACCATACTTTGGGAACCAATGGTTTGGTGAATATTGTAGGCTGACAAAATGTCATTTATAATCCTCAGGATGTGTCAGTCATTGAAGTGAGAATGAATGTGAGTTGTCCTTCCTTACCAGTGGTCAGGGTAGTTGGGTCATGACACAGCTGGGTCTGTTGATGATGCTCTTGAGATTTGATCACTTTTTCTATTCAGGCCATTCTTTCCTCCAGAAACACCTAATGGATCTTTTATGTTGTTTCCATTATAAAGCTTTCATTTTCTCAAAGAAGAAATTGCTTTACCTCTCTTTTTCTTTAGTTTCTCTTTTTTTACTTTTTTTTTTTTAATGGAAGAATACTCCAGTGACTTCACAAGTCAGCTTGTTCAGTGCTAAGCATTCCACATCCTTAATAGTTTTTTTCCTCCTTGTGGCTCCATCCCTTTTGGAGGAAGTCACTTAGACTTTTGTGTCTGGCTAGACATAACCCAAGAATGCTGCTTGTCACCTTGGTTATTTCTAACCTGACCAGTTACATAAGGCATGTTGGTGCTGGAAGCCTTGGGTTTCAAATCCAGCTTCTGGGATAGTGGGTGACAGTTGGTTGCCTTTTGATTTTATTACAGCTTGAAATATGCCAAGTCTCAACTCAGTTATGATGAGGGTGATAACTTTGCAAATTAATGCAGATCGAGTTGTTTCTTATCTTGCACTTAAACATATTCTGTTCCTATGGTAATCAGGGAATCCATCTTGATGTAGAATTTTGGATCATGCCTGCAACCACTGTAAGTGTGTGTATATGTGTACACATATATACACTGCTTTTATAAGAGGTGAGAATCTGAGCTAATATCTAATTTTGCATTACTGTAGCATTGTGTCATCTCTCCCTTTATATATAGATAGATAGATAGATAGATTTGGTATGGTCATATAGAGTTGGCTGAGAAAAATCTGTCATTATCTTTATTCCTGCACAGCTGTAAAATGTATTTTAACCAGCGTAACAAGGACTGAATAATTAAGTTTACTAATATGTTTCTTTATTATGTATACAGGAAACTAGATGTGTGTAGCAAGTTTTTTGGCAAATTGGAAATGTGTCATTCTCTAGGGACCTTACAGTTTTAAATTAATAAAAATACTTTAAAGGCTACTAATATAAAATAGCATTAATCAAATGTTATTTTGTGGAAGCAGATTTAATATTTTATCTCTTTACATTTATATTTGTTCACCTGCTAAGCATTAATGTTATCAGAATTTTATAACAAAATTTGTCATGGAATACAGCAGTTGTTTTATAGGAGTAACGTTCCATCCAGGGAAATTATTTCTTTAAGAGAGTATTCCCTCTTAAAGAGGGTATTCCCTTCCATTCTTTGAGCCATAGTCTACGTTCATTATGGCTCATCAAAAAATTTGTAAGGTGAATGTAAATGTGTTGTCTTGCATATGCTCCTACATCTCAGTTTTCTGTCTGGGTACAGATTTCCCTACTTACTTAAAACATGGCATCTTTATATTTTGGATTTTTCACATCTCAGTTGCAAAGGAAAGAAAGGAAGCTCATGAAAGATGGGAAGGAAACCCTTCTTTCTTCAGGACTTCTTTTCTTTGGGTTTATGTTGCTATTCCGTTCCCAAAGCGAAAATCCGCAAAATCAAAAGATGTTAAACAGTGTAATACCTATTGGACCACTGTGGCTCTGCCTCACACTTTTTATGCACCTTCATGAATTTCAGGCAAAGTTCTGCCGATGAAGACTTCTCAGCATTTGGTTGATAAGAGCATGCACAAGCTTTGCTGAGTTGTACATCTCCAGTTTTCATCCTCAATGTCACACTCCTTCAAAAATATTCTTCTTTAAAATTTGAGATAGCATTATGTAAATACATTAAAAATAGTGATGAAAGAAATTCCTGTTTTCTGTTGGTGTAGCTCCTAATTGAAGTAGTGGCTGGGTGCATGTGATACTTGTAAGCTTTGGTTATGGTGCCAGTTTGACTAGGGTAGCTATCTCTCTGTCTCTCATGTTCACACAGTGTTTGTGTAACATACAGACAGGTTTTCCCCCATAGACAGTGGGAGTTATGTCAAATTTGGTTGAGTTATCTTGTATCTGAGACTGAATCTTCAAATTCTAAACCTAGAAGGAACTAAGGTACATATTTTTATGGAGGTAACAAACCTTAAAAATATCAGGCATATAATGAATGTTTAAGCCTTTGTGCACTTAATTTCTATTTTATTTTTTAGTATTTCTGATTTCAGTGCGTGACAGCTTTATAGAGACTTCTAAGGAATACTGCTGTCTGTGACACACTGGTGGTAAGACACTGGCACAGGTTGCCCAGGGAGGCTGTGGTTGCCCCAGCCCTGGCAGTGTTCAAGGCCAGGCTGAATAAG